GAAAAGAAAAAAGTAGCTGAGAGTCATCCTCAATGCACACCATACTTGACTCCATATAAGTCTCATCTATTATGCGTCACCTTTGACCACCTGGAAACGTGGGTCCGTGTTGTGCCAAAAATGGATTGGCTGCCAAACGGCGGCTGTGGGAGCGTGCACAAGAGGACTTTAACAAGAATTTAACAAGATTAACACTTAAAAACAATTATTTGTTTACTCGACTTTATAGTAAAGGTTTGTCTCAGTTTAACTTTCCATTAATAAAAGGACTTTAAAGTTAAAATCAGCTGCATTTCACCTGGATCACGTGGCAAAATGCAGCTGATTTGATGTTTGCTCCAGGAGTTCCGGAGAGAGAAGAAGGTGGATTTTATGGCAAGCCAAGTGTCTTTAATAACGACTTTTACCTGTTAATGAGACACCCGACTTGCCATACTTCTGGACTGCCCTCTAGTGGCTGAAAATGGTAGTGTTCAAAATTTTCCATGTCAGAATGAATGAAATTGTCAGATCTCAGCCAAAAATTGGATAATAAATAGGGATGCACGATATTGGATTTTTGGCCGATATCCAATATGTTAAAACTTAACCGATAACCGATAACGATATTTTATATATGTTCCTTTGTCAGAACATAGGCCTCTTATTTAGGCTTATTTGCTACAAAAATTGTGCAACAGCTGTAAGAGCTGGTGGCATATATTCAGTAACAGCCATATGATATGCATAGCACTTTAACTTATATTTAATGAAAAGTGTTAAATGTTATTTATTAGCATTAGTCACCTGTGATGATGTCTCACTTGTGGAGGCTTGTTCCAGGTTCCTATAGCTGCAGTGTGGGGTCCTCTGCACTCCTGTGCATGAAGGACAGCCTTTTTAAGTTAAAAGTTTTTGTCTATCCATTGTGCCGTAAGACTAATCATGCTAACGGGGCTAACACGACGTCCAAATGTCTGTGATAAAACTCACCCAACAAGTCGTGCTATCGGCTATTAGCTTCTCAATGACGTCGGAAATGACGGCGTGTAACTCGGGTAACGTTATGTCTGAAAAATGTCTTTGACTGCGGACGATGTAGTGAGGCTCAACGTAGTCCATGAATCTTCGGGATTCGACATCCTCACCAGCAATAAATAAAACTTCCACACTGCCGACATTTTGAATTTTCCTCTCCGCCGTGAGATCAGGTAAGCGCACGTGACGTCATCACGTTGTGCTGCCGCTGCAGGCAAAGACAGTGCCTTTTATATCGGCGAGTTATTTTAATGGAATGGCCAATGTCCGATATTGAGCTTTAACGCTAATATCGGCCGATGCTGATACCATGCTGATAATATCATGTTTCCCTAAATATAAATATGGGAAAAAACATAAATAAGTCGCTTTGCTGTATAAGTTGCAGGTTATGCTAATTTATGCAAAAAGGTGCAACTTGTACAGCAAAAATACAGTACTTTGAGCACAAACACTTTATATAAAAACTTTTTTTAATTTTTGTTTTACTTTGGCATTCCAAGTAATGTTAGTTTTTATTTAACGACTATTTAAGATCTTTCAAAGACTTTAAGACTTTAAAAAATACAAAACCACCTTCAGTTACACATACAAAAGCTCTTTAAAATCGAATTATGTCAATAAAGTCAAATCTTAAATAAGTATTTAAATGATTGAAATCAAGGGAACTCTTGTTTCTTTTAAGCTTTTAGTCAGCATCCCAGCTGTTTGGAACTAGAAGATGAATCAATAGTTTGACATCCTGGAGGAACAAGAAGCAGCAGCTGTCATGAACGTGTTCAGACAGAAAATGTGGCTGTTCCACAGAAAGGAGAAGTTCCTGTTCAAAGTAAATATGACACAACGCTCCCGTACGTTTGTAAAACCAACTGTGAGCTGGAAACTCCACCGAGAGCGAGGAAGTGCAACCGTCACTTCATCGTGCACGGCCACTTTGCTGTTACTCATGGATCTGGGTTCCTCCGGGTTCCTGTTCTGAATGAGTCTCTCCCTGCAGGTCTAATGCAGAACCAGAGGGTCCGGAGAAGGGATGGAGGGCACGGTGCGACTCAGCACACTTGTCACTGTGGATCCTCCTCACAAAACGAGCTCTGGGAGGCAAAAAGACAGGACGCTCAGTTTTTGTTTACCCCTTTTATACGTTTACAGTTGATGTTGCAGGTTTTTACTCTGAAACAACAGGAGCCTTTAGAGCAGGGCTAATCAACTGATGGCCCACGGGCAGGTGACTTCGATCCAGCCCACTTTATTAAGAAAAAAATATATGTTGGTTTTTTTTTTGGTTCTGGGTTTGGGTTCTGTTTATTGGATTGTTCAGTGCAATAAAATAAACAAATTAAAAAGGTAAGAGATCACTGTAAACTTTGTTTTATTTACATAATGACTTTAATCGCTGGATGTCTGGCCCCCCGAGCTGCTGGCTTTCAGAAACTGTGGCCCCCTGAGCAGTTTTACTGAGTAACCCTGCTTTAGAGGGTTTTAAGTCATGAAACATCACGACTGAATCAGAGGACCTAAACAACCCCCCCCCGTGGGTCGGACGCGTGCAGAGCTGCTGTTTCATGCTTCAGGTTTTAAAGACATTAGTTTTGTCAGGTCCCCTAACGTGCAGTCCTTGAACTGCTCAACTTGCTGTGATTCTGGGACCAAAGATGGACACATGGGGGGGTTGTGGCTGAGCGGTTAGAACAGCCGTCCTCCAATGCAAGAGTTGGGGGTTCAATTCCACCGGCAGTCACATGCCAAAGTGTCCCTGAGCAAGACTGAACCCCTCATTACGGCCAATGTGTGTCCCATCGGTGTATGAATGTGATAAAGCACTGATTAATGTTTGAGCTGTATGAATGGGTAAATGAGGACACAGATTGTGTTGTAAAGAGATTTGATAGAAAGTACAGGCCATTAGCATTTACATGCTCTGGAAAATATCAAGAATCAGATATTTTGTGCTTTTTTTTTTAATCACAAAGTGAGTTGTTTTCAGGCCAAGCAGTATCTAGAAGAACTTTACAGAGGACAAAAACCTGCACGGGGGTGGAAGCTGCTGTAGATCATCTGGCTGCATGTGGAGGCTCAGGTGGGGGCCCAGGCTGAAAGGAAGACAAAGACATGAGGCTTTTATTGTTTTCATTTGCAAAATGGTGCAAGACCAACACCGTGTGGTGAGACGGAGGATGACCAGGGCCAGTTTTCACCCTTTAACGCTCAAACTCTTTCACAAAAATCAAGTGAGTTTGCTCAAAATATTTCAGCAACATGTATCAAATTACTGTGAGGACTAATAACATCTTATTGTTTTTAATCATTGAGAAGTTAAAATTTTATTTTATTGGCTTTTTCTCCCCTTCTGACTGTGTTGGTGCTGGGTGTGGGTGGGGTATCATGGAAAACTGAACGTTCTGCTCGACTCGACTGCTCTAATGTGTTTCCATCTGCTCTAAAAGTCAATCAATTTTGCGTTACAGAAAATGATTTTGGTATCGTGACTGATGCTATACTGCCTGAATGTACACTGACCTGCTGTCAACAAACTGTCAATAAACTGCTCTGAGCTAAGAATGAAAAGGCCTGTGTAGAAAACAGCAGCATGTTTCGATCATTTTCTTGACCACAGTGAGCGTTTGGAAACAAACAAGCTTCAAGACAGAGAAAATATTATAGCCTGAAAGTCTCATTTCTAAGTTAAATAAATAAAAGATCAAACGTGTGTTTCTTAGAATATGACTTTTTTTTAATTTGGCCTACATACAAATTTGTGAAAATTATAATGAAAGAAGAGGATTAATTAATCCTGAAACGTGCATCTGAGTCAGAATTCACACTGTTTGTTCCTGTTTATAATTTACTCCACATGTGATTAAAAAAAAAGAATAAATAAAATAAAACTACCTCTGCACTTTGAGATATTTTAGGCATTAAAACTTTAAAACGTTTCAGTGTGCTGCACCTTTTGTTTTTTGTAACACTTTTCAAAATATTTAACTCTATTTAAAATCTTTTTACATAAAACACTCTGAAATATTTTCAGTTCCTTTAAAACAACATTCTCTAAAATTTACATCAGCATACTCAATCTCTTATCTTAAGCTCAATTTAGCTTTTAGCTATTGTTTTTAATGTATTAGTCTTTGGTTTTGTTCATTTTAGCTTTTAGCTACAATTTAACCAATGTTGTGAGTAGCAGTTTTACTTACTTGACCTTTAAGCTGTAATGTTTTTCATTTTAGCTTTCAGTAACAGTTTTAATACAATTTTTAGCTATTACCGTTTTGCTCATTTTAGCTTTTAGCTATTTTTGCTGCTTGTTTTGCTCACTGTATTTACGTTGCCAACAAATTAGTTTTAGTTATAGTTTCTGTATTTGTACTGTTTTGTTAGTTTTAGCTTTTTGCTACAGTTCTGCTAAATTTACCTTGTTGCTCATTTTATCATTCAGCTCTCAACTGACATCAAACATTAAAATAGATTTAAAAAAAACATAAGAAGTTGCAAAAATACAAATTTTATGTTTTATTTGTTTTTGTTTCCATACAAATGGTTCTTGTTAAACAATTATTCTAAATAGTTAATAGTCATGATGGAGTTTTTCCTTTTCACTGTTGCCTTCAGGCTTGCTCAAGATGAGAGTTTGCGATGAAGTTATTCAAAGCAGTCTGTACATCAGATAATGTTATTAACTTACTTTTATGTATGTGAATGTTTCTGTTCAGTGCCCTGAGACAACTTCTGTTGTGACTTGGCACTATATAAATAAACTGAATTGAATTGAAATGAATAGAAATGTGAACAGTAACACTAATTCAAGTCAACAAGTGAAATAAAATTTACTTTTTTATGTTTCTCATTACACAAAGTAAATAATATAATATCTGCAAATAGACAAGAGTTGTTACATAACAAAAAAAGAGTAAACGATATATTTTGAAAACCACTGTCGATCGATCTGAGCTCGATTACTTTTGACTCCTACAGGTTTTCTTGGCGAGTTTAGAAAAATAGATCGAGCCAAAACATCGATTCTGGTTTATATTTTTGTTAAAACATCGACAAATGGACCGCCTGGCATCTTTTGCAAGTAAGTATTAACAGTAACATGCAGTAACAAATATATGTCTTACTGCTATACGGAGTGCTTTACTTTTATTTCATATATATATATTTTTGTTAACCGTGTTAGCTCCGCATGCTAACTAGCTTCGATCGGATAACTTTAGCTTTCATCGATGCTCTCATTAACATTATCAGACAGGATGTAACTGCTTATATAATACAGTTTGTATGTTGGCCATACTTAGATTTGAACTCTGCTTTTATAAACCTTCCAAATACACCATTTACTGAGTGAAGTGTACACATGTGATTTCAGATGATCCTTCAGATAAGCCTCCATGCAGAGGCTGCTCGTCCTATCTAACTGAACCGTACATCAAGTGTGCAGAATGTGGACCTTCAGCTGTTTTACTGTGTCTCCAGGTCAGTGGCTAACAAGCTCATCATACTGTCTAAGATCTTTTTTTTTTAATTACAGGACTGGTTAAATTAAATAAACAATTAGTATAGACCGAGAAAGCACTGATTGGTTTCACTTAATCATGCAAAATATTTTGAGCTGACTTGGAAATTAGGAATGGTCTGATAACATGTTCACTTTGCACACCTTTTGAGAGCAGTTATGTGAGCAGAAGTAATTATTATCTTACAATTTGTTGGCATAAAGGATAGCCTTTTTTATATATCATTTCCCTTAAATAAACAGAAAATACTGTATTAACAGGCACACAATAAAGAGCTTTATAAACCAGGGAATGAGTGATTCCAATTGTAAAAAAAAAAAAATGTTTTGTTGAATTTAGACATATAAATGTCAGTTTAATTGGTGTAAAGTTCACTCCCGCCCCAGAAGAAGGAACAGCTGAAAGAAACAAGTGAAAACTTTGTAAGCTAATTGTTGATATTTGGATGAACAAAAACCAACAAGGACTTGACAGAATCCTGATATGAAAATAAAGTTGCATATAATTAAATTTGCATAAAATACACTAAATACTTCAGACTGCCCAACCCAGATCTGCTGTTTAGGCAGACCCTAATTGTTTTTGCTTTGATTTTTGAAAGGCCAAACTAAAAAAAAGAAAGAAAGATAAACCACCTTTGAAGGGGTTTAAAATGGATCCAGATTGACTTTGCTCTAACTTGGTGAAGAGTCCCTGATGGCTCAATTTCAAATTTTATATGTTCTTTGCGTCACTTGTCGTCCAACATACAAGGTTAAAAAGAAATTGACTGCAGAGCTTAAAGAAATGAGTGCTAAATTTTCCAGAACAACATGGAGAACATCAATCCATGATAAATAGCTGCCCACTGCACCACCTGGTGGTGGATGGGTTAAATGCAGAGACTAATTTCGCCATTGTATGGAAACATACAGTGCTGACATTGTGATGACATTATTATTATTATTATTATAAATTGACCTCGGCTGCTTAAGGAAAGAACACAGAAAGGAGCTGTTGTTGGAAAGCTGCACCATCGTTGTAGCTGCATAATTACTCTCATTCTTTCTATATTTATCCATCCATTCTCTTTTACCCACTTCTTCCTTATGGGGTTATGGGGGTCACTGGAACCAATATTCAGCCATCACTGTGTGAGAGGTGGGGGACACCCTGGACAAGTCTCCATTTCATCATGAGGCCACATAGAGACAAACAACCATTCACTCTCACCTAGGGACAATTTAGAGTTACCAATCAGACTAACATACATGTTTTTGGTCTGTGGGAGGAAATCAAGAGTACAGTAGTCCCTCATTTATTGCGGGGATCCATACCTGAAGACCCACGATAATTGAAAACCGTGAAGCAGGAACAGTAGTACAAGTAGTAAGTATTAGTTTATTTTTATTATATATATTTATATATATATATATATATTAAGGCGTTTAAAACCCTTTTCACACTCTTGCAATATTCTAAACAATGTTTCTAAACTATAAATGCTTTAAAAGAGCACATAATGTCATGATTTCAGCTCCCTGTCTCCTCTGCTCTTTGCCACCTGCAAGTGCTCTTGGCCACGCCCACTTCTCTACTCTGCACGCTGAACAGCTGATCAGCTGCAGCAGGAAGTTTATCCTGCAGTATGGGCTGCACAAAGGTGCAGGAGGTGCTAAATAATTCATTTTAAATAAAAATTCTACGCCCATTGTGCGACTCATCCATCAATCTGCCAATCGTGTGTCATGTCCAATCTTATTTTGAAAAACCGCGATAGAGTGAGTCCGCGATAAACAAACTGAAGTAGTGAGGGACTACTGTACCCGGAGAAAACCCACGCATGCATGGAGGGAACATGCAAACTCCACCCAGAAGGGCTCCTAGGCCAGGATTCGATCCAGTGACCTTCTCGCTGAGAGGCAGCAGCTCTACCAACTGAGCCACCGTGCCGCCCATTTCATTTCCATCACATTTTTATTGGATTTTCAAAATGAACAAGTTTGTCTTCCAACCTGAACAACATATAAATGCATTTAACACCTCAATATAAACTTTTAGTTTAACTTTTCTTAAGACTTATGTTTGGACAATATTTTCTATTGTATCAACAAATGGATTATGTTTCAGTGTTTCACCAGAGGATTTGAATATAAGAAGCATCAGAGTGATCACAAGTATGAAATCATGGTAAGTGTGTTTTATTTAGCATTTCTGTGGTGTTCTGTTTAGACATTTATATTTGTTTCACCTCTTTACAGACCTCGGACTTCCCTGTGCTGGAGCCTGGGTGGACGGCGCAGGAGGAGATGGCGCTGCTGGAGGCAGTCATGGACTGTGGGTTTGGGAACTGGTGAGTAGTTTGTAGTCTTCTTGAACGTCCTCCCATCAGGTGCATTTCTCTTTCCCACGCTCCCTGATTTTATCATTTAAAGTGTTTTTCTGACTCTCGTGGTTGAAACTCTGCATCACGTTGTTCACAAACCGCTGCTGTTTGCTCACAAGTTAAATATTGATCTTTTATCTGATAGGTCTGAATGCATCATGACACAAGAAGTCATAGTCTGAAGCTGAATTCAGTTTTTATGATCTTTTAGTCATAATTTGATGAATGCGACAAAAATTGAAGCAATATTTGTGCATAATATGTTATCTGTGTTTACTATCTGGGTGATTTATATATATATATATATATATATATATATATATATATATCCAAAGCTTCTTTAAAGTACTTGTATCTGTTTTGCTGTAACAGGCAGGATGTGGCGTACCAGATGCGCACTAAAACCAAAGAGGAATGCGAGAACCACTACATGAAGAACTTCATCAATAACCCGCTGTTTTCCTCCACCCTGCTCGGTCTGCGCAAAACTAAAGACTCTCATTTTGCAGATGGTGCGATCCCTTTTAAACGTAAGATCTCACTTTGGTTATCATCGTTGGCTTTTTTTCAGTCCTTACAGGAGCTGATTATAGGACGTGCATTGAGCCACTTCTTGTCTTTCACTCGTTGTATGTATTTTGCTCCAGTCAGACAGCTTTAAGCTCCCATAAAAATTTAAATTTGGTTGCAGCGCATCCAATTATCTGCCGCTTGTTCTGGAGTCTGACCTCGGGGGCAGCAGCTTGAGCAGGGAGGCCAGACGTCTCTTTTCACAACCACCTCTTCCAGCTTTTTGGGAGGACTCTATGGTGGTCCCAGGTTAGGCAAGCATGCCATGGGTCTACCCAAGGGTCTCCTCTCAGTTAGAGAAGCTCAGGACACCTCCTTAGGGAGGTGACTGGCGTACATCCTTACCAGATGCTAGAACCACCTTAACTGGTGCCTCTCGATGTGGAGGAGCAACAGCTCTACTCCCAGTCTCTCCTGGATAACTGAACTTCTCTCCCCGTCTCGAAGGCAGAGACCCTGTGGAGAAAACTCACTTCGATCACTTGTATCCTTAATCTCATTCTCTGTGTCACTCCTCAGAGTGACACACTTGAGGCAGAACCTCACTCCCAACCCAGAGAGTGCAATCCACCCTTTTCTGATCTCTAACCATGGCCTTAGATTTGGAAGTACTAATCTTCATCCCAACTGCTTTACACAAACCCTCATTACACGTTTGAGCCTACCGGTCCAACGTCTCCCCCTGCAGTCAGATCCAACTGATCAGTTGACAGCTCTGCAGACAACAGTCTTCTCATTGATCTGTGACCTACAGTGCTGATCCTGGTGTCCCATGTGCACTTATGGACACCCTTATGCTCGAACATGGAATTTGTGATGGACAAACGGTGACCAGCACAGAAATTCAGCAACAGAACATCACTTGGTTTCAGATCAGAGAGGCTGTTTCTCCCAATCACGCCCCTCCAGGTTCCACTTTTAATATCCACAGGGGCATTGAAGTCCCCCAGCAGAAAAATGGAGTACCCAGCTGGAACACCTACCAGCACCCTGTTTAAGGACTCCAAGAAGGCTGGGTACTCTGACCTGACGTTCGGTGGATAGGCACAACTCAAATACAGCTTTCATCCCACCATTGTTCTGACGGTTCAATGCTAAACTCCTGCTCCCAGACTGATCTAACTAGGATTACCCAATGAGAGCCATGAGTGTTAGACACCACCCAAGAAACCTTTGCACTGAGTTTAAGTTTAAGAACAAGTCCACTTTTCAAAGTCTCATTCATCCAAAATTGGACCAATGTAGCAGATGTCATTTCTCACTTTGCAACTTGAGCCACATGTTTTTCTTTCGCCTCAAATTAATGTTTTTTTTTTTAAATTTTATTATTATTATTTTAAGGTTTTAGGGAGCTGGATGCAGTCAGATCATTCCACTGCTATATTTAGGCTTCCATCTGCCCCTTCACATCTTCTTCTTGTGTGAAATACTCAGTCAGTCGTACATCTCTCTTGGCGAGATGTCGTACTCTACTCCTCTTGAGGTCACTCAACCCCGACTATTTCTTAAAGGCTCAAGGTTGTCACGTTGTTTCTTACTGTAAAATATATAACCATTACAGGCTGCTCTGATGTTTTAATTTATTCACTGGATATTTTAAGTCTTTACCCTCTCACTCACTGATTAAACCCCCATAAATAAGCCTCACCCTATTACCTTTGCTCCAACTTTTGACTTCATACTTTGGTTTTATAGCACCGTTTTATTAAAATTATTATTATTTACTCGTTGGAAACAGAGATGCTGCTGATTGTTCGTTTTGCTTTATAAAAATCAAGGAACTCACTTGTTGTACTTTCCTTCCTCTAGAAAAACAAAATTAATTATACATTAAAATTAGAGACATTGCATTTCCTGTGAAAATGCAGTGTGAATGTTTATTGCTTAAGTACTTGCTGAAAAATAGCTGAATTAGCTAAAAACATGCTGAAATCTAGCTGAAATGGAAGAATTAGCAGAAGGGAATTACCAGAAGGAAGTGGGACTAGTTGAAATAAGCTCCAAACATGTGAAATTAGCTGAAAAGGCTAAATTTAGCAAAAACAGCTAAATAGTAGCTGAAATAGCAGAAACAGCTGAAACTAGTTTAAGTAAGCTGAAAGGCGCAAAGCAAGCTGAAATTAGCAGAAATAAGTTAATTAGGGTGAAAGTAGCAGAATATACCACAAAAAAACTTGAATTTATCTGAAAACAGCTGAAATTAGCTAAAAAATGCTACAAACTAGCTGAAAATGTAAGACTAGTTTAATTTAGCAGAAGAAAGCAGAAAAAACACAAGTTTGCCCAATTAGGCTGAAAGAAGCATAAATGAGCATTAAAAAAGTGGAAAATATTTGGAAAAAAGAGCTGAAATTGGGGGGAAGAACAGCTAAAAAGAGAAAGCTTACATAAACAGAAGGAATGGAGAGAACACATTTTTTGCTGAATTAGACTGAAAATAGTTGAAATGAGTGCAAAAAATGTGGAATTAACTGAAAAAGCTGAAATTAGCATTAAAAACTAAGTAGCTGAAATAGCATAAAAAGCTGGAATTGCAGAAATAATACGAAAGGAGCATGACGAGCTGAAATTAGCAGAAAGAAGTTCGAAGAAGCACAAAAATGTTGAAGTTAGTAGAATGAATCTGAAATAAGCACAAAACAGCTGAAAAATTGCTGAAATTAGCTGTGAAAGTAGCTGAAAAAAGTTTATATTTGCATAAGGAAGCTGAGAGAAGCTGAAGCAGAACAAAATGTGAAAGGAGCAGTAAAACATAAACACATCTAAAGATTTAAAAGATGTAAAATGAGCTCAATTCATTTTCTATGAGGAAAAAGTAGCAGAAAAGGCTAAATATTTCAAAAAGCTAAAGTTGCACCAATACCAAAGGTCATAGCAGGATCGTCCTGAAAGAGCTAAAGGTTTTGATATACAATTTGTTGAAATGGCACAAAAATCGTGGAACGAGAAAATTGGCGAAAAACGTACGGAAGAAAACTGGATCACAACAGTGTGAACGCTTCAGAAACATTCACACAACGAATCTGTCAGGTCAAACGATTAGAAGCAGCCATGGATCACAGTCCTCTTATCATATCTCACGTCTTCGTGTGACAGCGATGGAAATCATTTTACGCTTGTTTTCATGTCATCTCCTTAAAGAACAAGTTTGACTTGTCAGTTTTACATTTTCAGCACGGTTTGCTTCTGATCCCTCAGCCTCCGATGACCCCCCTCGACCCACATTCGACTCCGTTTTGTCTCGAGACATGGCAGGATACATGCCAGCCAGAGCGGACTTCATGGAGGTGAGAGGGAAACATCCTGGACTTTGTGTGCGTGTGTGTGCAGCGACATCACTTTTCTGCATGAATGAATGGTTTGAATTGCCACCGGAGGGCTTGAGATGAAGCGTTATTGAAAGAGTCACAGCTCTGTTGTTGCCTCTCACTGAGACTCGTCTTGTGCATTCCTCATCATTGATCAGCTGATCACACGGCCAGATTATAAGGATTATTTTCACCTTTCTGTTAGGAGTTTGACAACTACGCAGAGTGGGATTTAAAAGACATCGACTTTGTGGATGATGACTCAGACATACTGCGCTGTGAGTATCATTTTAGGGACTTTCTTCCTTCTGTATTATCGAGCATCAGGTGATACTTCATACACAAAACTGACTTTAAATGTGCGTTGTTGTTTTTTTCAGCACTCAAGCTTTCGGTCGTTGATATCTACCATTCAAGATTAAAGGAGAGGCAAAGAAGGAAGAAGTAGGTGGAAAGTACATTCAGCAGCTTGCAGTAGTCTTAGTCTTTCAACAGATGGCAACAGAAGCTTCTGTATTGACCTCGGGGAGCCTCAATTCCCGTAGATACTTTCTGCGTTTCACACTAAATTAAATTTACAAGGCAAACAATTTCAAATCCCTCTCTGCTCATTCTTACTGTTAATGAATTATTTATGCAGCACTTTGTTTATTTTATTAAATATTTCTTTAAGATAAATCTTGAGAGGCTGAGGTTGTCACAGAGTCAGTAGCTGATGTTGAATTAAACATCTAGTCTTTTTATTTTAGGCTCTCGTTAGTAGCTCCAAGACAAACACGTGGAGTCACTGAGTTTGACCGGACCTGCTCCGACTGCACGAAAGAAAGAAAACGAGTCTCTTGTGAACAGTGGGAGTGACAAACAGGCTGACGTTTTCAGTTTCAGGTTGGCAAGGAGAACTCTCTCTGTGACGAATACATGAAATCTGTGTAATTATGGTTTGAGACGTTCCACACGAGGGCAGCCTCCTCAGCGCTCAGCTTTGTGTCTCTTCTTGTGTGAACGTTAAAGAAGCATTCACACTGTTGAGATCCATTTTTCTTCTGTACGGTTTTTGGCACATTTCTCATTCCACAATTTTTGTGCTATTTCAACAAATCGTATATCAAAATGTTCAGCTCTTTCAGCAGAAGGGTGCTTTGATTTTTAGTATTGGTGCAGTTTCAGCTTTTTGAAATATTTAGCCTTTTCTGTTGTTTTTTCCCTCATACAAATTGAATTGAGCTCATTTTACATTCCTTCACATCTTTAGATCTGTTTACAACCTTTTACTGCTCCTTTCATGTTTTTGTTCTGCTTCAGCTTCTTTCAGCTTCCTTGTGCAAATTTAAACTTTTTACAGCTACTTTCACAGCTAATTTGAGGGTGTGTGTGTGTGTGTGGGGGGGGGGGGTGTCAGCTGTTTTGTGCTCCTTTCAGATTCTTTCTGTTAACTACAACATTTTTGTACTTCTTCTAACTTCTTTCTGCTAATTTCAGCTTTTTTCTGCTAGTTTCAGCATTTTCTGTATCTCAGCTACTATTTAGCTGTTTTAATGGTAATTTTAGCTTTTTTGGTTAATTCCACTTGTTTAAAAAATATTTTCAACGTTTTTTAGCCCAATTCAGCAAAAATGTGCTCTCCACTCTCTCTAACTTAAGCTTCATTCTGCCATTTTAGCAACTTTTCAGCTGTTTTTTTTGTTTGTTTGTTGCTAATTTCAACTTTTTCCAGATAATTTCCACTTTCTTGCACTCATTTCTGTTTCTTTCAGCATAATTGGACAAACATGTTTTTTTCTGCTTTCTTCTGCTAATTTAAGCTTGTTCTAACTTTTCAGCTAGCATTTTCTTTTAGCTAATTTCGGCTGTTTTCAGATTATTTCAAGTTTTTCATGTTAATTTTTGCCACTTTCAGCCTAATTAACTTCATTTTGTTACTTTCAGCTTATGTTCCTTTCATCTTTTTTCAGCTAGTTTTAGCTTTTTCTGCTTTTTCAGCTACTACCGGTATTTAGCTCTTTTAATGCTAATTTTAGCTTCTCCAGCTAACTCCACATGTTTTTAGCTTATTTAAGTTCTTTCTGCTTCTTTCTTATAGGTTAAGCTACTTCCTGCCTTTTCAGCTACTTTTCAGCTATTTTTCTAATTTAAGCTTTTTTTAGCTTATTTACAAATTTTGTGCTCATTTCTGCTTTTTTCAACCTAATTCAGCAAATATGTGTTCTTTCTGCTTTGTTCTTCCATTTCAGCTACATTTCAGCATGTTTTAGCTAATTTCAGCTGTTTTTCAGCAAGTTCTTCTGCAAAAAGCATTCACACAGCAATGCAATTTCTCTAGTTCTCTCTGTAAACTTGAAGCTACTTCCTGAAGCTTCACACGACTGATTTAACAGTCTGTTTGAATTGAAGCTTTCAGATCTTTTCTCTCTCTCTCTACACTTACTGGACAAAATAACTCAACAATGTAAGAAACGTGAATAAAACCCAGACAGAACTACATAATATAATAAGAAGCCCAGCGTTGCTCAAAGGAATGCTTATTGCCCGCCGCCTTTCATACCAGAGTTTAACCTCAGATCATCGTCTGATGAGAAGAGACAAAAGCTGTAGCCATTTTGGTTGAACCTTGTAAAGTAACGTGCACTACTTATGCAATACCTCTGGATCTACTGGTGCTTGAAGTATGTACTGAGGAGGAATCTCAGCTACCACCACACCAGATGTAGCCCGATATCTGCTACATTAACTGAGTTGTAGCCATTTTTTGTTCTGGCTGGGGCAGACATCTTGAACTGGGGTCGACTCCACAAGTTAGGGTTATAGATCTACATCTGAAGATTACCTTCTGGGAGTTTCACTACAATATATCCTGTGGTTCATGAAATATTTTGCTAACAGACTCAGACTGTTTTGATTCTAACAAGCAAAGATGTTGTGCACTGCTTGTAGCGTCTGTTGGGGGTGATGCTCAGCTACTACCACGCCAAACTTTAGCTCAACACTTGTAAGACTGGCTGAGTTGTAGCCATTTTAAACTCCGCTAGGGTTGATCAGCTGTGGCAGCCATCTTGACTGTGGTTGCCTTCAAGAGTTAATCAGTTGTAGACGTATATCCAGTGATTACCTTCTGAGTTTCAATAAAATCTGTTCAGTAGTTTGTGAGATATTTTGCTAACAGACAAAAGCACATTTACCTTGTTAACGTTTACCTCATAATCCCAAGAGTTTCTTAAATGGAAAAGTTCACCGTGTTTGAAGTTACTGTGATTTAAATATACACATATGTTGTAATAACGAACCACCCTGATAAAAAATATACACCCGAGTATAAAAACGAGACTTCACCACCGTCCTGCCATCTGTCACTCTTCAGAGTGCTCAGATGAGTCCGGCAGCGAAGCATCCATCAGTAAATCAACTTTATTGAGTTTGTGCTCCCTGAGCTTAGAGGAATGGCACGTCTGGCTGGGCAGGCACCTCGTCCAGCCACACTCCTATTTTATCTCTGCCAACTCAGACACGACAGATTCACAACCGTCTGCAGGTCTTTGAACTTCCTGAAGAACTGCAAATTCAGTCTCTTAAAAGACGGGTCTCAGAAGTATTTTATTTTTTAAACTACCGTATTTTTCAGGCTATAAGGCGCTCTGGATTATAAGGCGCATTAAGCGAAACAAGTTCATTTTGACAGATTTTTTAGCACCGTGCACCACATAAAATGGGTTCGAGGTCAGTAAGCACAACCAGAATTAATACATAAGGCTCACTGTCCATTTTTGAGAAAATTAAAGAGTTTTAGTGAGCCTTATGGTCCGAAAAATACGGTACTGAACCATATCTAGGAATCAACAGTGTTGTTGGTGCATAATTTTCTGTATAATCTGTTTGAAAAGTGTTTCATTCTTCTTAAAATTGACAATAATTACTAATTATTGTCAAATTTTAAACAATATTATCGTTTATCGCAATAATTTCTGAGACAGTCGCCCAGCAAAATTTATTATCGTGACAGGCCTAGTTGTAGTCATTTTTGTGTAGGTTAAGGTCACCTATCTGTGGCATCCCTTCGACACTGAAGTTAATCATCTGTCAACGTTCATCCGTTGGTTACTTTCTATGAGTTTAATTGAAATGCATTGTGTTTTATAAGATATTTTGCTAACAGACAAACGGAGTTGACTCCAACAGTTACACCAGTCTTGCACAGTGAGTTAGCACTCAGAGTACAGGTTAGTAGTAAAACTACTACACCAAATTTTAGCTCGATATCAGTAAAATCAGCTGAGTTGTAGCTGATTTTGTGTTTGCTAAGATCACTTTTCAGGGCCGTCCGTCTCGACTCCAGAAGGTAATCAGCTGTAGATGTCAACCCAGTGATTTTATTCAAATTAATTCAGTGATTCATGAGATATTTTCCTAACAGCACAAACAAACAGACAAAATCATGATCGCTCCTCCTTTGGTGATGGGTAATAATATAAACACCTGTAAGACAACACTCTGAACCTCAAAGCCCTAAAATGACCACACAGTTTATGTCGTGTTGGTTTATTTTTATTTTTATTTTTAAATAAATCTGTTTTTCTCTTTCAGGATCATCCGAGACCACGGTTTGATGAATCTTCGCAAATTCCAGAGTGAGTTTCCGGAAAATCACCCGAGCTTTTCTGCGACACTCAGAGCAGCTCGGTGAGGCGTCTGGTATCTGTTTTTCACGGAAGCGTGTGAACGCCTCATCTTTAACAACCTGTGGGGGTCGCCTGAACGTGGCAGCTGAGGGAGGGGGGGGGGGGCGCACCACAACACCGCTGCAGTGGACTAAAATGTGAGGGGGCGTGGTTAGCTGATCCACCTGTTACTGCTCAGTGAAATGATTCTTTTGCATCTAGGTTTTTGTTTCATTAGACAGTGACGGCGGCTGAGGAAGGATTTCGTCCAATTATAGCGTCTCGTAACTTCGGCCTTGGCCGGCGTCTCCACGTGTTGCTCTGAAGCTCTCTGTGGTTTGGGAGGTGAAGAGTTCTCCTCTCATGTTTTATTGATGTTTCTCCCAGCCACCGGTTAGCCCTCCTCCCTTATCTCTCCAGCCCTTTTTCAAGACAAAGAAGAACTCAGACCAGAACTGCAGACTGGTTGTCATGGAGACTGTCAGAGAGTGTGCATGTGCGATCATGCGTGTGTTGCACGCGATAATGGAGGCAGTATCCGAGCCCTGGAGGCTCGCGGCGTCACGTCTCAGTTCTGCTGGAGGCAGAACGGCCAGGTTGTTTCTGTTCGCAGTCAATTTAGATGATTTTTTATTAAACACACGCACACGGAGGTCAGAGCTTTCATGTCCTTGGAGATATGAGCAACTTTCCTCAGCGCGTCCACTGCGTTGTCAGGAGCGTGACTCTCCGTGCTCAGCTTGAGACGGCAGCAGATAATTAGCGCTCAGATGTTGAAGTCTGACGGTGGAGCTGGACCGACACGAACAATCGTCCTCTCCGGCTCGTACACTCGTCCGTTACTCGGCAACACGGACAAAGCTTTCAGATGAGCGCAACAAGCCTCGAAGCGTGTGTGTGTGTGCTTGTTGAGCGAGTCAAGTGTGGTGAATACACACCAGCAGATCGTCGTTGTGACAAATCAGCACTTCCTGTTGTTTACAGCCAGGTTCTGGGTTAGGTCATTTCATTACAGTTGAGAGCTTATGATCAGAGCTTAAACCTAAATTTTCTGGCTTATGAAGTCGTTCAGTCATTTGAAACAAGAGAATCAATTCCTGGACATTATGCAACCATGTTGAAATGTGGCCTTGATTACGGGAACGGGTAATTATAAAAGGCTACAAGCAGTTTTGGTGCAGCGAAACATCCACATTGCTTTTTACTTCCTCCAGCAAATTACGAGTGAATGCTGATAATATGGTTATGAACACAATGAGAGAAAATCATCGCGGGGCATAAACAGATGTAATTGTTGCAGTGATGATAACTAGAGATGTCTTTTTTTTTTTAGGGATGCATGAAATTATCGGCATGGTATCGGTATCAGCCGATATTAGTGATAAAGTTAAATATCAGACATCTGCCATTCCATCAAAATAACTCACCGATGTAAAAGGCGCTGTTTTTTAAAAATATATATTTATATATAGTGTTACATCATTTTCAGTCCCCTGCATTTGGTAGCAGGCCAAATTGACAAAGACTATGCAGAATAATGTAGTATTTGAATTCCACAGCAGAGAAAGCTGTGTAGTCTATGTAAGTAGGTCTAGGGGGAAAAATATTGGTATTGGGTATCGGCCAAATAATTTTTAACATATCGAATATCGGCCAAATATTCTATATCGTGCATCTCTACTTTTTTAATGTGTATTGAATGAATCGTCTGTAAATTCAGCTTTAATCCTTAATTAATCACATTTCATGAATAATTCAAGCACTTCTCTCCACCTAAATTTTGTGCAGTGAATGGAAAATATGCACAAAGTGTTGAATCCTGATAACAAATATACCGGTACTGTGTGTATAAAGATACCCAGAGTGTTGAGCTTCGTGTAATCAGTTGTGTGACTAAAAAGTAACTTCTCCTGTTGCTGCCTCAGGGGATGTTATCAAAGTGTCCACAGAGCAGTTTAACAGACGCTCACTCAGAAAAGGGTTTTATTCTGATGCACCTTAGGATGAAAATGTTCCTTCACAGAACCAAAATGATGTCTGTTGAATGTACGTTGTAAAGATGAAACTTGGGTTTTGTTTTCTCGTCACTGTCCTACAGCTGCTTTCTTTGCTAGTTTTTTCTTCAGATTTCAACTCTCCATTGTCTGTTGTCCTTGTGTCTAATAAATACATCATGAACTCTGTGTGTGTTGGGGGGGAGGGGGCGCAGACAAATGTGTTTCTACGTTTTTACAGCCAGTGCATAAACAGTGAAATACCCTTATTACTAATGTGTATATATATATATATTCCTTAATTTTGGGAAATTGGGCGATACTTGCATGAGAAACCGATTTTACCGACTTTTTTTAGTTGCAACAACAATTGTCTGAACTTCATTTATATTTCAGAGCACTACCTCATGGCCAGTTAAAACAAGTTTGTATTGTTTTTAGGATATTGTTCAAGGATATGTTTTTCAATAAAATAATGTTGGAAAATTGAAGGTGCATTGTGACCTTATAACACCAGACGGTGTCGCTTGTAAAACAAAATCGGTATCGGCCATAATCGGAATCGACAGGTCAGACTTTGTAGAAATCTGTGATCGACCAGAAAACTGCAATCGATTTGGCTATCGCCGATACCAGTATTGGGCGGGGCAGGCAGATAACCGATACAATGGCTGAAAATTTTTGAGCTTTGTCCACCCCCAATAATCTTAAGTCAAAGTTTCTTTGTCATTCACACCACATGTGGTGGAACGAAATTGTGTACACAGGGTCCCAGTTACATCCAACAAAAGTAAACATTGTAAAGAAAAACAGTAATACGATCTAATATATGAACTAAAGTTAACTTAAATAAACAGCTACTTTTTTGAAATTACTTTATTTTACCAGGAAGAAATCCATTGAGATCATCAATCTCTTTTACAAGGATGTCCTTTTAAACAACTTTAAAACACCTGAAATATTGAAGTCTTCCTAACGTGCGTTCACATTTTCTATCCTCCATCCATCCATTATCTTTACCCACGTGTTCCAATTTGGGTCACGGGGGTCGCCGGTGCCCATGTCCAGCAGTCACTGTGCGAGGGGCAGGGTACACCCTGGACGGGTCGTAAGTTCATCACAGGGACACGTAGAGACAAATGAGACAAACAACCATTCACACCTAGGGACAATTTAGAGTTACCAATCAGCCTAACATGCATGTTTTTGGTCTGTGGGAGGAAACCGGAGTACCCGGAGAAAACCCACTCATGCACGGAGAGAACATGCAAACTCCACCCAGAAAGGCCCCTGGACCGGGGTTTGAACCAAGGACCTGCTCGCTGAGAGGCAGCAGCTCTACCAGTTGCGCCACCGTTCTGCCCTTTCTATCCTCCACTGTTCACCATAAAATTATCAAGTGTGCTACAAAAATATAAATGAAACAAAGAAACGCCCTTCACTGTTCATTGTTTCAACAATCATTCACGTACGGTAAAGGCCTAGTTGACCTTATCTGTATTTCTTTCTTTGCAGAGAAGTTAAGATTTCAGACAAACAATGCATTTCTTTGGTGACGACAAAGATAAGTTACTAACGCTGAAATATATTTTACATTTAACATTAGATTTATTATTCTGGATAAAGTTTTACAAGGCAATAGCCTGTGCTACGTAAAATGTTAAATGTTAGCTTGCTAACTTGAGAGGCACATAGCTAATAACAATTCAATTCAATTCAAAAATAATAAATAACGAGTGGGTTAGAGGATTGAAGAGAATTTATTGTTGATATTGTAATTTTACAGATCAGTTAAAATGAACTTACCATGCTGTGTTCAGCAAAATGTGCTACACAGTGTTGCTTGCTGCTTCGGCTGTGCTGAAAGTGAAACTTAAAGTGAACAACCTTGACTTGAAAGTAGTCTTCATGCATCCTCTGCTCGATACATTGTACAATTACGACTGGTTCTCTGTGTTTTAGGGGTGAAAATTATAAGTGTTTATATTGGTGCATAATGGGACAATTATCACCGATACGATGAGTCCCCAAACGCACATATCGGCCTAAAATATCGGCCCTACCGATGTATCGGTCAAGCTCTAATACGTTATACATCAAACATGCAGCTTGATCTGAAATAGTGTGCTTTGATTTTAGTAGCAGTATGTTGTATAGCATATGCAACATAAAATAAATTGACTGCAAGGAATAAATAGAGATCAATGGGATTTTGGTGAAGCATGCAGTACATAAACCAGTCCTTTCAGATCTTTTGCAAACAAGCACTTCTTAATCCCACGTATCGTTTTGCTACACGTTCAAATTATACATAAAAACGTAGAAATGCTTGTTGTCTTCCACCCAATGTGTCTCGCCCAGCTGTAGGACGTGAGGTTTTCTCTCAAATCCCAACAGAATGCAGTACATGTACACCCAAGCATCTGTAGACTTGAGTTATATCTCAAAATATTCTCTACATAACTGGAAGTGAAGGGGCTTTTTAACTTGTATCTCCTCCATAAAAGACCGCAGACTGTAGAAAATTCACATGTGACTATCAGAGTCCTCTGCCTCTCACAGTTAAAGGATTTTTAAGATCCAATTTGTAGTTTTTGCACGACGACCATTTGTTTGAGGCGTCTGTTTTTGTCTGTCTCGTTAAATTGGCAGTCAGGGAGTGACGGGCATAGATGCGTGTTACCATAGTGACCACAAATGAGTCACTGGCAGCATAAAATGTCTCGCTTCTTACGCAGCTTCTACATCCAAATGTTGACTTTTTTTTTTTCATTGTTGACACGATGCAGCCTCTGCCCAAACCCAAACTTAACTTTTACAAATTCATGTTTGTGTTTGGGCAGCGCCTTTCTCCATAAACTTTCTAGCTTTGTGTGTTTGGAGTTATGTGGAAGCGTAGAGACTATTTATAAAGCTTCATAACTAACATCTTCATAATAACTTGTCTCTCATAATCCTAATTATTTTAAGCTTACATTTTGTTGTCTCTAATTGTGGTAAAAACATGGGAGATGTGTTAAACATGACTTCATCATCTGTAGATAATCCTCTCGGTAAATGTAGTTCTGATAAAAGGGGGTAATATAAAGACATTCTTTCCTGGGTGCACTAAAAGTCTCCTGTCTAAAAGCGTCTGAGGGGGAGGATTGTTTTATTCTCTGGTGTTTCTGAGTTTGTATCTTCTCTCTTTGTCAGTGTTGGAGCGATGCTATCCGAAGGAGGTGCAGGAGCTGTATGACATCATGAGAAGATTCGCCAGAATTGTTGGACCGACTGAACACGACAAATTCATCGAAAGTCACGCATGTTAGTTTTTGGCTGTGAAGACTTGGCAGAGTTTAAAACAGCCACAAACACAGACTGTTGCAGATTTGGCCTTTTTTATAAGAAACAAATATGAACGAATAGTTGAACATAAACCGGCTTCTATTATAAACTTTAGACCCTCCACTTTATGCCGATGACTCTGAACTGATCAGAACTGACTCCATGTTTGCTCTCAGATGTCTGCAGTCAGCAGTCTGAGGCGTGACATGTAACACAGCAGTGTCGGTGTCTGCTGTGGCATGTTCTGCCGCTCCCGCTCACCCTGTCACCCTGAAATTGATTCAGCTCGTTGACGGACCGGCTGTTCTGTCTGACACGGAGCAGCGAGTCGGGAGTTTAGCTTCCCTGTCATGTAGTGGATGTTGTGAAAGGTGCTGAAAGCATCTGAACAGAAACTGCTAGAATGTCCGCCAATTTTCCAAAAGGTTGCCGTCTTATTCGCAGTTCTGCTAAATTTAAAATTTGCCATTTTTAAGATGCCATACGTAGTTTTATGGGGTGCTAAATAGTTGCCAGGCAACCAGCATCGATTTAAGAAATTTTATTTCTGTTAAGAATTAATCCAAAATGTAACCCCTGAAATTTAGTTTTTGTACTTAATAAACTCGTGAACATTTTGACTAGACTTTTAGGTTTAGTGTAGATTATTTTACTCACTGTAGTACAACATAATCCCAGTAATTCTTGTCTGTTCAGTAATAAAAATACTTAATGAGGTTGATTCTGGCTTTACGCAAAGTGAGTGTTGTCAAAACAGCAAACCATTTTTTTATGTTGTTTATGTTTATGTTGTATATGAGCATGACTCATAAAACAGGCTGGTTCTGAGTATTCATGAAGCGTTGATCTGCAGCAGGGAGGGAGCTGCAGATTTGCATTAAACTTCCTTCAACTCTTTGTCTTTGCAGTGGAGTTTGAGCTGAGGAGAGAAATCCACAGGCTGCAGGAATACAGGAAAGCAGGGATCAAGTCCTTCTGCAGTGAGTTGACCTTTTCTCTTTGTTTCAACAAAACTTTTAAAGTCACATCCGTAATAAGTATTATGCAATCTATACTTAGATTGTTTTATGGTATAGACCGGTAGCAGATCACTCATTTGGTTCACCTTTTTCCACATTCAATTTTTTTGCAAGATTGAGTTGTCAGCTAGTCTTAGTCTCTAGCTAGTCTCCGACAGTGGAACAGTAGCTAACTAATCTCCAACTTTCTCTTGCTAGTCTCCAACAGTCTTCAGTAAGTCTCCAATAGTCACTTGCTAATCTCCAACAATCTGCAGTTAGTCTTCAGCAGTCTCTTCTAATGTCCAACAGTCTTTGGTTAGTCCTTAACAGTCTCTTGCTAATATTCACCAATCTCTGGTTAGTCTCCAGGAGTCCCATACTAGTCTCTGTTAGTGTCAAATTGTCTCTGGTTAAACTCTTTCAACTGTTGTCTCCAACAGTCCAGAGACTGTCTCTGGTTAGCATACAACTGTCTCTGGTTAGTCCCCAACAGTCTCTTGCTAATCGCCAACAATCTCTGGTTAGTCTCCAACAGTCTCTTACAAGTTTCCGACAGTCTCTGGTTAGTCCCCAACAATCACTGGTTAGTCTCCCAACAGTCTCTTGCTAGACTCCAACAGTCGCTGTTAGTGTCCACCTGACTCCGTTTAGGCTCCACCAGTCTTTTACTAGTCTCGAAAAGTCTCTTGCTAATCTCCAACAATTTCTGGTTAGCGTCCAAATGTCTGGTTTGTCCCCAACAGTCTCTTGCTAGCTTCCAAAAGTCGCCTTTAGTGTCCAGCTGACTCCGGTTAGTCTTAAACAGTCTCTTGCTATCCTGGAATGGTCACCTTCGTGTCCAACTGACTCCGGTTAGTCCCCAACAGGCTCTTGCTAGTCTCCGTCAATGTCTGGTTAGTCTCCAACAGTCACTGTTATTGTCCAACTGATGCCGGTTAGTTTTCAACAGTTACTTGCTAATCTCCCAACTTAGTGTCCAACTGTCTCTGGTTAGTCCCTAACAGTCTCTTGCTAGACTCCAACAGTCGCCGTTAGTGTCCACCTGACTCCATTTAGGCTCCACCAGTCTTTTACTAGTCTCCAAAAGTCTCTTGCTAATCTCAAACAATTTCTGGTTAGCGTCCAACTGTCTCTGGTTAGTCCCTAACAGTCTCTTGCTAATCTCAAACCATCACTGGTTAGTCCCCAACAGTTTCTTGCTAATCTCAAACAATCACTGGTTAGTCCCCAACAGTCACTGTTAGTGTCCAACTGATGCCAGTTAGTTTTCAACAGTTACTTGCTAATCTCCCAACTTAGTGTCCAACTGTCTCTGGTTAGTCCCTAACAGTGTCTTGCTAGTTTACAACAATCTCTGGTTAGTTTCCAACAGTTTCTTGCTGTTGGAAACTACTACAAAAGTCGCCTTTGGTGTCCAATTGACTCCAGTTAGTCTTCAACAGTCACTTGTTAGTCTCCATCAATCTCTGGTTAGTCTTCAACAGTTGCCGTTAGTGTCCAACTGACTCTGTTTAGTCTCCAACAGTCTCTTACTAGTCTCCAACAGTCTCTTGCTAGTCTCCAACAGTCTCTTGCTAATCTCTAGCAATCTCTGGTTAGTGTCCAACTGACTCCGGTTAGTCTTCAACAGTCTCTTGTTAG